CACCTGGGTTGGGGCAACCCCAGTATCAATACAGGCTGGGGGATGAAGGGATTGAGAGCAGCCCTGCCGAGAAGGACTTGGGGGTACTGGTGGATGAAAAGCTGGACATGAGCCAGCAATGTGCGCTCGCAGCCCAGAAGGCCAATCGTATCCTGGGCTGCATCAAAAGCAGCGTGGCCAGCAGGTCGAGGGAGGGGATTCTGCCCCTCTACTCTGCTCTGATGAGACCCCACCTGGAATCCTGCCTCCAGCTCTGGAGCCCTCAGCATAAGAAAGACATGGACCTGTTGGAGCGTGTGCAGAGGAGGGACACAAATTGATCAGGGGGATGGAACACCTCTGCTATGAAGAAAGGCTGAGAAAATTGGGGTTGTTCAGCCTAGAGAAGAGAAGGCTTTAGGGAGACCTTCTTGCAGCCTTTCAGTACTTCAAGGGGGCTTATAAAAAAGATGGTGGCAAAGTCTCCAGCAAGGCCTGTTGTGACAGGACAAGGGGGAATGGCTTTAAACTAAAAGGGGGTAGATTTAGACTAGATAGAAGGAAGAAATGTTTTACGCTGAGGGTGGTGAAACACTGGCCCAGGTTGCCCAGAGAGGTGGTGGATGCCCCATCCCTCGAAACATTCAAGGTGAGGTTGGACGGGGCTCTGAGCAACCTGATTTAGTTGAAGATGTCCCTGCCCATGGCAGGGGGGGGTTGGACTAGATGATCTTTAAAGGTCCCTTCCAACCCATGCTATTCTATGATTCTATATGGTATGGAATATGCCTTTGGCCAGTTTGGGTCAGCTGTCCTGGCTGTGCCCCCTCCCAGCTTCTCGCTGGCAGGGCATGAGAAGCTGAAAAGTCCTTGACTAGTGTAAGCAGTACTTAGCAAGAACTAAATCATCAGTGTGTTATCCACATTATTCTCACGCTAAATCCAAAACACAGCACTACGCCAGCTACTAGGAAGAAAATTAACTCTATCCCAGCCGAAACCAGGACAGATACCTACAGGCATTTCAGATGTCCTAGAGAGCTGGAAATGCCTATTCAGGCCTGACATATGATACAGGAAGACATCTCCACTTCTGGCATGACAGCTGGAGGCCAGCCAGATGTACAAAAGCACCTACAAAATCACGGAATACTTCATGGGGGCTTACTAGAAGGGCAGTTCAGAGGACTTAAATTTGCTGCTGGTTCAGTAGAGGTCTGTTTTTGTGCAGGGGACTGGAGAAGAGAGCTCCGGAGATCTCCTGCAAGCTAATTTACTCTGTGACTCCATGAATTAGGTGGCTTTGTTTTTACCAGAATCTGGCCCACTGTATTTGCTGTTTTTATGGTGGATTAAGATACATTGTCCTGGGAAGAAGAGCAGTGTAACCTGTCACTACAAAGAACTACATCGCTGGAGAAGTGGCAGGCTGCCATTGTAAACCTTATTTGTAAACAGGATTCTAGGAAGGATCTTGGAAACTACAGCGCTGTCTGACTCCCATCCCCAGTAATGTTATGGAGTTTATGATAAAGAAGAAGAAATTGGAGGCATTCTCATAACTAGAGAGTTGAATGAAGACAGCCTAACTGGGCTATCAGGTTGCTTTTCCTCTGTCTGTAATGCCGTGGGTTTCGAGTGATTTGACTCTTGGTTCAAGGGCATTAGCATGTTCTGTTCCTTAGATAACAGTCTGCTCATTGGTCATCTGGATTTTGTGTCCAACGGGTATTTTGTGTGTCAAAATTCAGTTCTGTTAAGCAGGAACAAAACTACAAAATTCTTCAGCTAAAAACAGATTTGTAGGAAACGATGCCAGAGGGACCCAAAAGCACATGGGTCTTCCATGGGTCTTGCTTCACCTCTACCAGTCTCAGATATATTGTCGGGTCTGAACTGGCACTTGACACCTGTGTTTAGGCAACTGAATCACAATTTAGAACTCTGTTAAGTGTAATTAAACATAGATGCCTAGTTCGTATGTGGACACCTACATTTAGGTCTTCGCCTCAGACTGAATCTCCTCTTACAAAAAAGACTTTGGATTTGTATCATGAGACATTTCTGTAAAGAGACAGTGGAGATGTAGTCAAGTCAAGTCAAATCCTGGTTAAAAGTTGACTCAGAATTTACTAGTGACCCTCATTAAAAAACAAGATAGGTATTGAATCAGGCTGAGGGGTGACCTCATCGCAGTGTACAACTTCCTCAAGGGGGGCAGCGGAGGGGGAAGTGCTGATCTCCTCTCTCTGGTGACCAGCGATAGGACACGAGGAAATGGAATGAAACCGTGCCAGGAGAAGTTCAGATTGGACGTTAGGAAAAAGTTATTCACCGAGAGGGTGGTCGGTCACTGGAACTGGTTCCCCAGGGAAGTGGTCACAGCACCAAGTCTGTCAGAGTTCAAGGAGCGCCTGGACGATGCTCTTAGTTACATGGTTTAGTTTTAGGCGGTCCTGCGAGGGGCAGGGAGTTGGACTCGATGATTCTTATGAGTCCCTTCCAACTTAAGATATTCTATGATTCCACCAAGGTCTACACCCCCTTTATGAATGTAGCTATAACTCTGAGATCACTGATCCAAACCCGAAGGAATAAATTGTCTTCCACCTCCGTGATGCACAGGACAAAAGCTGGTAAGCTTAAATTCCACAGAAGAAAGGACTGCTCACAGAAAATAACCATGACAGCCTGGAAACAAGGATCCTTCAGCATCCACTGTCATTTCTGTCTCAGGAGGTCCCCAGCTGTCACTTCAGAAAGGCACAAGTCTCCCACAAGCCTTGTGCTCTGTGACCAGCCCCGTGTAGATGTGTTGGATGCCCTAAAGAATCTTAAAGAACAACAGATGCCTGTGTTCAGGCAACTGAATTGCATTTTACCTGGCAAAGAGTTAGGATTCAGAAGATCTCGTGGAGCAGGCAGCTCTGTCAGGGCTATTTATGCACTAGGCGAGCATATTACTCTACCACAAGGGTTCAAAGCATGACAGAGAGCTGTAGCACTGCAGTAAGTCCATTTACATTGCCTCTCTTATACTCTTCTTCAAGCACCGATGACAAGTTCTCCACCCAAGAAGTGAAGTGTAGACACATTACTACGTTTTTAATTACCCTGTTTTAAAACTTTTTTTTTTCTTTTCCTCCAAAATTCTGAGAATTCCATCCAGAAGAGTGATAGAGAGAGGTTACCTTTATGGGGTGCTGTGTATTTGTTGGGGGGTGAGTATTTGAATTCATGATCTGAAGTTGGGCTTTGTACGCAAGTACAACATACACAGTGCAGCAGTCAGCGAAACCTCAGAGAATGATGATCACTGAAACACGTTGTAAGGACTGAAATTATTTTCAGAAAAAAGACTCTACAGAAATTGTTCTTGAGATAAACATATCATTTATCAAATTGTGTCATGGGATAGCTTACTTCAGCACACATGCTGCAAGTATTGGACAAAATGCATACAGAAAAGGCTGGGGGAAAGGAAAATATTTTAAGTTAAGGTATTAAACCATGCATAATACAGAATGTGATCAAGAATGTGTAATACATAAATTGCAATTAAGCATTAAATTTGTCTAAGAAAAAATATGATCTTTCATGTCACAACAAAATTACCATATTTAAAAAAAAATTATTCCTCTTTAACTGAACAAATTCTCATGGTTGATTCTTTGTGTGAGTTTTTAAAGAAGGGATACAGTTCTTCTGAGAATGCACAGTCTTTAAACGTGAACATCACAGACATGTCAGTAACGTTGAAAAAAATCAAAATTTTCTCTTCGCAATTAAGGTAAACTCCGACTTTCCTGGGATTTTTCTGCACCACTAACTGTGCCCATGGATCAGTTCTTGCCCAGTAATCTTTAAAACTTAAGCCCAGAGCCCAGAATCCTTCTTGAGGTGACAGAGACATTATTCCTTTCCTTGGAGCAGATTTTCTGTCTACTCCCAGGTCCCAGTCATTGCTTTTTTCAACGTCCACCTCCCAGTAATGCTTCCCAGAGGAGAAAACTTCTGAGCCCAACACACAGACAGATGAATCAAAACTCCCTTCATTTTGAGCCACTTTCTGGGCCTGTGATTTATACGTAAAACTCTTCTTGTCCACAGCAATAGACAAATTTGGATGGGCTGTGTCCCCATCAACCTTGATGTCATCTACAACAAATAGATATTCGGGGCTTTATAAACACTCCTTTAAAGCAAATATGCAAGAAGAGAAGGAAACTGTACTGTACAACATTTCATTCTGAAAATCTCCCTACAACTAGACTAGAAGGACCTCTAAGCCTGGAGTGAAGAAGGACTGCACTCAGACATCTAAATTACACTTTAACTTTCAAACATTTCACTGCCAAGTGAAATAACTCCATATCACTGGAATAAAAGGCATTTGTAGTCTCACAATCCAGTCCATGCTCAGCACTGCTTCTGTAGTATTCACAGATTTCAAGCCATTGAATACAGTCGTAAGTAAATACATTATTTTACCTGCATTGCCACGAGCCTTTCTGAATTCTGAAAGCAAATAAGGGGAAAAGAAAGAGAGAAAGAAAAAGGTAAGAAAAACCAAACTCCAAACATTGACTGAAAAGATTTCCCAACTTGGAGTTGGGAAATCTCAGACTGAGTCTAAGGTTAAACGATGCAGGTCAACTGATCCTCAAATTCCCTCTTGTTCTCTCAAGCCCAGTGATTGCCTACGAGGTCTGAAGAAGGATCTGAAGCTGGGATGAGTCTCCTGCTTGGGAACTACTTTCTCTCTCAGGTCCCAATTTGCTGCCTTGCCAGCATTTTACACGGATGCCCCACCAGCCTCACTCCACGTTTCAAACCATGTGAGATCCCTGGTCAGCACCCCAGCAGGCACACAGAAAGAGACAGTCCCCTTTGTGACACTCATGGAAATAAATTTCCGCCACCTTTTGTGCATTTCTCAGGCGGGGGTGGATACAAAGGAACAGGTTGGGTGAATTTTCCCTAATCCTCTGAAGGGAGGAGGGAGTGCACTTTCCGGTGAGTTTCTGGGCCTGTGCAACTGTGACAGCTTTGTGCAATAGTGGCTGGGCAGGGAAGGATAGTGGAGAAGATGTGGCAGGCAGAGTGTCTACTATACAAACCAAGCTGCTAAGAAGTCACATCAGATGAGTCAATATTAAATGTTTGCCAAGGCAGAATCAGCTGAGCTTGTGCTTTTATGTGTGAGAGATGAAAAGACAACCCAGCAGGGTAGGATCACGAAGTCCTGAGGTGTGAGCTTAAGGGATTAGCTCAAAGATAGGCATCTGTATGTGAAAAACATCAAGTTTTGGATTAATGTCTGAGCATGTGAACAGACAAGTGCGAGATGTGCACCCGGAACTGTGTGCAGAAAAGGCTGTGAAGCCCCAGGAGCTCAAGTTACAAGCTCTAAATTCATTGTCCTTTAAAGCAAGAACCACCCCTTCCTCTCTTCAGGCTTTCCCTTTCCCTAGGTTTAAGGGACTTAATTAACGATAATGACTTACCAATATCTTTCCTCTGATCCACTGCAAATAAGATAAACGCACAGAAAGAAAACATTACTATGGATTAGACAACAGTACTTGGTAGCACTACAGGATGACTCTGGATACAGATAACTCTATTAATACCAAAGTTCAGCCATATCCTGAAATGCCATATTTTAACCTGCTATTTCTGGAGTCACCAGAGTTTTCCATGCAGTCAGATCTACACGACATTCACAGTCATTCCCAAATGGGCTCTTTTCCTCCTGTGCATACAAGGAGGACCTTTTCCAACCAGAAAGGCTGAGAGGCACAAGTGATATGAGGTATTCTTTTGCACATGGGAGGACAACAGACAAAATTGTAGACAGGTCATTAAAGCTGGAGGTAACTAAAGGACATGGGAAGAATACAGCATCTATAAACAGGACCATTTGAGCTACTGTGAGTTATTCCCATGGATTAGCTTTGGTTTCATAATGGAAACACCTTCCTGAAGATTCAGGTGACATATTTCCAAGGAACGTGGAAAGCAAAGCATATAGAATCATAGAATCATTAAGGTTGGAAGAGACCTCCAAGATCATCGAGTCCAACCGTCAACCCAACACCACCATGCCCACTAAACCATGTCCCTAAGTGCCTCATCTACATGTCTTTTAAATACTTCCAGGGATGGTGACTCAACCACTTCCCTGGGCAGCCTGGTCCAAGGTTCAACCACTCTTTCAGTAAAGAAATTTTTCCTCACGTCCAATCTAAACCTCCCCTGGCGCAACTTGAGGCTGTTTCCTCTCGTCCTTTCGCCAGTTACTTGGGAGAAGAGATCAACACCCACCTCGCTACAACCTCCTTTCAGGTGGTTGTAGAGAGCAATGAGGTCTCCCCTCAGCCTCCTTTTCTCCAGGCTAAACAACCCCAGTTCCCTCAGCC